GCCTGTGTGTTGTTTTTTTTTTTTTTTTTTTTTTTTTTTTTTTAATTCATTTGCCTCTATATTGGGTGCCGATTTGTAAATCTCATTTGCCTGGAGACAAGACACAAAGTTTACCAGTGTACAACTTCATATAAAACAGTGTAGCAGGCAGTAAATAAGCCGCTGGTGTGACACAGAACCAATACTTTCCTGGCCGATAGGGCCATCATTTCAGAATAGTATATTACCTGAGAAGAAATACATTTGCTGAGGCTATTTGAATGAAGCTGGGGTTGTTATATCTTTTTAATTAATATAGAGAGAGAGAGAGCGAGAGAGATATATATATGTTTTCATCCTAGTTTTATCAACATTTAACACGACCAGGGTTAGTTGCCACATTACAGACCACCCAATAACATTTCTTGCAATCCTCTTTTTTCCACTGCTCTCTGGAGCTGCTACTGAAACTACAACTTGCCATTAAAATTAAAGTTGTCCTATAATGAGGAGTGGCTAGGGAAGAAAACAAAAACAAAACAAAACTGGCTGTGTGTATGAAGTTGGGTTTTGATAGCCGGTGCCATTTTGGATTTAGTTACAGGTTGGCAAAATACTCAAATTTGTCAAGCTCCAACATAAAACACCTCTCTGACTGAACCTTGTCTCATTGCTCTTAAGACCAACGCTGAAATCATGCAGGTAACGTTTGTAGCTTTTCATTTATAGCCAGTACTGACCATTGCTTTGACTGGTTAAAATGCAAAATCAAAACAGAGAGCAACAATAAAATGAATAATACAATCAACAAATAATACGCAGTGACATTAAAAACAGTAAAACCAAATAATTCATTGACAGGCAACTGAAAAAAAGATATGTTAAAATTCCCTATTAAAACATTTAATGAAGTTACTTCTCTAATATCCTGAGGCAATGAATTCCAAAGGAAGGCTGCACGATAAGAAAAGGCCCTATGTACCACAGAGTTTCTTTATTAACTCTCAGGGCCTGATTACCTAATGTTAATCCTGTAACAGCTCCACTGAAACCTATGCCTGTTAATTAATGTGCTCTCCAGATCACCGACTGTACTCTACCAAAAAGAAATGTCATTCTGTAAAATCACTCTACATCTGTGAGTGAACAGATTTTTTTTTTAAGTGGAAATGATTCTCTACAGGAATTATCAGATGATCACAGCATAGTAAGTAGGGGAGAGTCTGACTGTTACAAATGATCTCATCAAACTCATGATTTTGAATAAGATCCTCTTGTATTTGGAACAAGTAGTTTGTGAAAAATCTATCAAAAATGAACCAATATGAATCAGTAGTTTCATACTGCATCTTCTGCTGCTCATCCTTTTTTCAGGTAGGTACAAGTGAACATTTATTTGGCTCTCTTATCAACCTTAATGTTGATTTACTTAGTAGCTACAACTAAAACTGTAGTATTCCTGTCTACTCACACAACAACTGGTGATCACAGATTTAAGCTAAATCTTTGAGCTGTAGTTATTTATAGCTCTGTTACTTGCAAATGATGAAAGCTGAACTTAGAGATCTGATAGCATTGGGATTTGATAAGTGAATTTGATGCCGATTTCAGATTCAAATCAAATACCAACCCTATGAGTTTATGGAGTATAACGTTTTCAAATTCTTCCTATCCCACAGTTTGACTTAATTTTGTTATGCTGTGATTTAAGTGATTTCTGTTTTACACACATTTATATCTGCACAGGTGTGCTGTGTTCACACTCTATCACTGTATCTCTCTCCCCTGACTTGATTTCTTACCACTCGCAGTAGCCTCCTCTGCTCCTTGAAGGTGGCGCAGCAACCCAGCACGCCTGTTACCATGACGATGGCTCCAGCCAGGATCAGGATGTAGGCGGAGGCAGCGTAGGTCTTGGAGGGGAGAAGGCTGATGTAGTCGCTCTTCTCAACCAAGGTCCAAACACCCACAGCCATCACAACACCCCCTGCCAACTGGGAGAAGAACATGTGATAAAACATCCGTTTTCTCCCAGAGACAACAAGCCAACCAAGACCCTGGTCCCCAAAACAGCACATGGAGACAGAGTGACAAAAAAGATATACATTTTTTAAATCACACAAGCAGGCTCCAAAATGACAAGAGGAGGAGCCTGAAAGTGATGCTTGACGTTCGAATGTGAACTGAAAGACGACTCAGCGCTGCCACACAAGATAACCCAACCCCGAATCGGTTTATGCTATAAGATTACTGTGAATGTGCCGATTGGAGCTGCTCAGAGCAGTAATCTAGTGCTGCCATTGCTACTGTAGTAGGTTTGATACTATAGGTTTGATAAAATATTAACTTAATCAATTCATCAATTAGTCAGAAGAAGAGAAGATTAATCTGCAACTATACTAAAAATCAATGAATGATTTTTATGTTTTGGTTTCAGCTTCTCAAAGAGGATTCCTTTTCTTCATCATATTTGACAACATTTTGAACTTTTGGTCAAATAAAACAATTTTTAGTATTTAACAGACAATTTTGAAAAAAAAAAAATAGCTGGATGTTTAACTGCAGCCTCATAGGGGTTTTCAATCAGTGGTCCAAGGCATTGCAGGTGGTCCCTGACCATGCATTCAATAATGTAGTTTGTATAGAAATCTTTATTTTTTATTATTATTTAGCCATGTATTACCCATTGTTTGTGAATAATGAAATCCATGCAAATATATAGCCCCGGTGACTTTCAGGACTAAATTACTGCTCATCCAGTCTATCCACCCCAGGACAGTGGTCCTCAGGTTACCTCTTGGCACAAAATGGTGCCTTTCGGTCACAGTTAGTTGAAAAACCCTAACATAGGCTACTTTTTCACAACTGCCAATTGGTGAAATTGGAAAGGGTAAATCTTGAGATGCAGAACTTCAACCCTACACAGCAATCACATGGCTTAAAGTCTGAGGCTTTATGGAGCCTGAAGGGAATCATCCAGCCCACAGGATAGATTACCGGTAATAACAAACCAGGAAAAAAACGAAAAAAAAAACCCCATCTTTAGCAGCATTAGGTAACAGTTAAAAGAATGAGACAAAATAAATCAGTATTACCAGTCAGCAAATGGTGCAGCACAGCAACCAGATTCTGTCACCATTCCAAGTCATCAGTATAACCACCTTCCTAATTTAAGTTTAATTTGTAAGAGAAGATGATGGCTACAGAAGCTAGACACTGAGTCACAGTGTACCATACCCAGAGACGCTATGGCAGGAAAACCCAGACAAGTGTTATTTCAATCAACATTCCTTAGCTGCTGTTACCATGTTAAAAAGTAACCACAATGCTTTAACAGGAGCAGTAATTAGCCACATTACTCTGTTACAATACTAGACCATCATTATTTTAGTACCTTCATCTTTTTTTCATTTCCACTGCAGGGCACAAATGGATTTCAGAACACAATCTGATAACTCAGCAGTCTACACACGAATGTAATGTTAGAGGCCTTTCCAGAAAAAAAAATCAACGAGTGATTCTGTGTTTTTTCCTCCATTACCACTTTAAACAATACCTACAGTCCATACAGTCCCTTGTCTCCAGCTGCATGAGATAACTGAACAGTGACATTTCAAAAGATTTGTTTCCCTTCAAGATATTTTCACATCAAGTTATAATAAATTGTTAATTTTAGTTTTCTTTACATAATTCATCTCACAGCTTTCAAAAACCTTTTCTTGCTACCCACAAAAATAGGCTGTCCCAGTGAACCTCAGAATAAACAACATGGGGTTCAGACTCTGCAGTAACCACTTCATGCAGCGAGCATGTGTGTCATATCTCTTCCTGCTGTTAAAACTCAATTACCACAGCAATTAGTGAACCTGTCCAATAGTAACAACTGTAAGATGGCCAAAGGGAATTTCATTTTGGCGACCCCCAGTGGAAACTGGAGGTAACAACTCGAGCATATGAAAGCCTAAAAAGACCTTGAAGTGAAATGTAGTGCTATGCCAGTGCCTTTTCCTGAGAGTCCCAGCTGTATTTATTTTTCTTGGCAGGAAATGTTGATGAACCCAAAAGTCAACATGTCCAAACAAATCCTTGACATTCTCTTTAAAAACATCAACAGGTCTGCTGACATTACTCATCCAAGGACCTGAACTTAACCCAGACAAAACACCCCTACACTTCACATTCACCTTTTTACTCAATTTGGTGTCTTGAGGCCTCCTCCAAATTCTGTCAAATCCGCAGTACATCAATAGGAAACATGAAGCTGTGATGTTACTCCTGAACTAAATGGAAAGCTACCAATTGGAAAAATACTTATAATGTTGCAGTGTTAATTTAGTGGTCTGAATTTCAGTCCATAAATACTATGCACTTGGAATAGCAGTGATACATTTAAGTATTTTAGGGGGAAAAAAAGAATTTTATAAAGCACAGAGATTATATGGAAATAACTGCACGGTACAAGTCAAAAGATTTGATTTGGTCATAAAATAGCCACATAGTTTTAACTGAAAAGGCTCAGTACTGTTTGTCTGCCAATTTGAGAAAGATCTGACTCTTTGGCAGACAGATGATTGTCACATATGGGCAGAGCTGCGAGTGCGATTTCACACTGAGAATGAGACAGGCACCCTTCCTTTACTGACAGTAAGGCTTCCACACTGATATTTGACTGTACATCTCACACAGCACATCCAAATGAGGAAATCGGTTATTTGCCATGCTTTTCTCCTGAACAGCACATCCAACGCTGGAATGTTTTTGAGGAATCAGGCTCTGAATGCATCTTCTGTGTCCTCTGTAAAAGTATGCGACTTGGCACTGATTCTTTGAACAGAAATAACAGCAGGCATTTATCTGTAGCCTGGGTAAACAGGCTTTGTTGAAAGTGTTTGCTCAGCTGATTCTCTGCCTTGTAAAAGCAGACCCTTCATGCCAATATGAGGACATACTATATTAATGTCCTTTTGTAGAGAAGGACAACACTGTATGTGCTGCCTTTCAGTGGGCTTATGTCTCCACAGATGAAAATCCTGCAGACCACGCCACTAGGTTCATGCCAGCAGCACATCTACAGCAAAGCAGTTGGCTATCAGGTCCCAGTTTTTTGATCTATGAGAAAACATCTGAGCCCAATACATTCACTCTTATTGAGCCAGAAGTCGACACTGAGATCCGACCTGAGATCACATCC